CAGGGTTTAACGGGAACAGAGTTCCTGTGGGGTTGGTCCAGATGCTCTGGAAATGGGGGTGGAGATGTCTGCACAGCAGTGTGAACGTGCCTAATGCCACCAAACTGTGCACCGAAAGTGGTTAAGAGAGCGAATTCTGTGTATGCGTTACCACCAAAAAGAGTAGAAACACATTTTGGTTGGAATATTGTATTACAGTTTTGCTAGGTGTTACCTTGGGGGAAGGGGGAGGTGAGCAAAGTGTCCATGGGACCGCTCTGAATTACATCTCACAACTACGTGCGAATCTGCAGTCATCTCCATTTTTAACATGGAGGAAGAGAATGAATTACTGAGTCTTACACTTCAAAAATTGGCCCCCCTCCCCCACCAGAACCTCTAGAGTCAAATGGCTGAGTCTGAATCTCACTTGCTAGCACTACGACTTAGGTAGGTCTCTCAGACCCTCAAGTTCCCTGCCTGTGCAGCAGGGGTAATAAAATACTTCCCTCAGAGAGTCTGGATGAGGCCCCGTGTGCGTGCACCGGGTACTATGCGGTTAGTCGCTTTTGTATGTTTGGCTTCAAAGTGGTGTTGATCACTGTCAGCTCCTCAGAGCTCCAAACGCTTTTTCTGTTACAAACACTGATGCTAGTGGCGGCTTCATTTTAAGGCTTGCCCTCCAAAATCTTGGGTGCAGTGCAGCTCAAAGAAGAGACATTTGTGACAATTAAATAGCAGAGGACAATTCTGATGCAATGTATCACAAAACAAAACGGGAAACCATCAGATCAAATAAGAACAGGTTTTACCACAAATGCTGGTATTGAGGGAACAGCAGATTTAACTAAAATATTATTATTTAAAAATATCTTTTTAAATTTATTTTTAGAGAGAGGGGAAGGGAAGGAGAAAGAGGGAAATATCAATGTGTGGTTGTCTCTCTTGAGCCCCCTACTGGGGACCTGGCCTGCAACCCAGACATGTGCCCTGACTGGGAATCAAACTGGCGACCCTTTGGTTCACAGGCCTACACTCAATCCAACGAGCCACATCAGCCAGGGCTAACTAAAACATTATCAGAGGGAGAGGACTTCCGCCAAGATGGAAGCATAGGTGGAGACCCCGTGCTTTCTCCCACAACCAAGTTGAGAGACAACAAAATATTAGTAACAGAAAACACAGCCAGAACACAGAAAATTGAACTTTTTGGAAGTCTGATAACAAATTCTTCAGCTTGACCGATAGACCAGCACGGGAGTGGGCGGTGAGATGACGGGACCGAGCAGGACCCAGCAGCAAGAGGCATCAGAGGGGGCCACCATTTCCCCACTCTGACCCCGCCTCCACATACAGTGTCACAACCCAGTGACCTGGGCGCCCCACCCTGGTAAACATCTAAGGATCCACTCCTCATAATTAATGGGCGCAAACAGAACAAAAATGACTCAAGAAGATCTCAAAGCCCCAGAGCCCATAAATCTAAGCAATGAAGAAATAGCCAAACTTTCAGATGCACAGTTCAAAACACTGGTGATCAGGATGCTCACAGAACTGGTTGATTATAGTCACAAATTAGAAGAACATATGAAGGCTAAACTAATTGAAATGAAGGGAATTGCACAGGAAACAAATAGTGATGAAGAAGAAACTGGGACTCAAATCAAGGGAGTGAACCAGAAGGAAGAAAATAATGGCCAAACAGGAAAATATGAAGAAACAAGAATTCAAAAAATGAGAAGAGACTTAGGAACCTCCAGGACATCTTTAAACGCTCCAACATCCGAATTATAGGGGTACCAGAGGGGGGAAAGGAACAGCCACCAGTGGAAAACTTATCTGAACAAATAATAAAGGAGAATTTCCCCAATCTGGCAAAGGCAATAGACTTCCAGGAAATTCAGGAAGCTCAGAGAGTCCCAAAGAAGTTGGACCCAAGAAGAAACACACCAAGTCACATCATCATTACATTAGCCAAGATTAAAATGAAGGAAAGAATCCTAGAAGCAGCAAGAGCTAAGGGGACAGTCACCTACAAAGGAGTTCCCATCAGACTGTCAGTGGATTTCTCAAAAGAGACCCTACAGGCAAGAAGGGGCTGGAAAGAGGTATTCCAACTCATGAAATCCAAAGACCTACAACCAAGATTGCTCTATCCAGCAAAACTTTCATTTAGAATGGAAGGACAGATAAAGTACTTCTCAGATAAGATCAAATTCAAGAAGTTCATCATCACCAAGTCCTTAGTATATGAAATGTTAAAGGGACTTACCTAAGAAAAAGAAGATAAAAAAGATGAACAGTGAAAGGACAGCAAAATCACAGTTATTAAGAACCACACCTAAAACAAAAGCAAACTAAGAGGACAGCTAGATCAGGAGCAAAACCATAGAAATGAAGATCACACAGAGGGTTAGCAACAGGGGAGTGGGAGAAGGAGAAGGGGGGAGAAGGTACAGAAAATAAGTAGCATAGACGGTAGGTAGAAAATAGATAGGGGGAGGGCAAGAATAGTAGGGGAAATATAGAATCTAAAGAACTTGAGAAATGTGGACATAAACTAAAGGGGGTAATGGTGGGGGAGGGTGTGCAGGGTGGAGGGGAATGAAGGGGGGAAGAGAACTGTAACGGCATAATTAATAAAATATGTTAAAAAAAAAAAGAATTATCAGAGGGAGGAGCACCACCAGGAAGCCTTCCTGGATGTCTCCAGAGCCAGCTGTGTGCTTCTTCAGTGCGATGCCCTCCCTGTCTACCCAGGCCACTCACAGCAGTGAGGCTCTGTCAGTGACAATGCAGTGGGAGTGGGACTAGGTGCCTGGGGAAGGGGAAGCACCCAGCCGGGCCTACGCTGGATGTATCTAAATCAGGCAGGGATCTGTTCTCTGTTACAGTGTCTGTCTCCAGAGAGCCACATCCGATCTCTATCACAGTGGATTCGCTCATGGACTTGAGCCACATTCCCTGGGTTTCAATCTGCTCTACCACTAAGCAGTTGCGCACCTTGGCCTTACCTTTCTCTCGCCTGTATAATGGGTATAATAACAGAACCTGCCATATAGGGGCTTTGTAAGAATCACAAGCATTACCATGAGTAGAGGGATCAGAATAGTAAGTGCTGTATAGGGCTTGCTCTTATTATCGCTGTTCATTTCCCTCTGTCTCCCTGGGCTCCCACGGTAGGTCAATCCTGCATTAAGTACTTTAAAATCGCCTGCATAAGCTTCCTTGTTAGGGCTTTCCACAGTCTGCATTGACCCGTGGGATGATGGGCTGACGTCTCTTCCCTCCTATGCTGACTCTGTGCCACGAGGCAGGGCTCCACCCTGATGCCCCGAAGGCATGTCCACATCCTAGCCCAGCGCCTGGCTCTTCAGAAGTCCTCAAGCTTGCCTTTTCCTTTGTTCAGAGAAATATACATCTTTGGTATCATGGAGCAAGAAGTGAGGAGTCATAGAAGTTCCAGGGACAAATGATACACCTCGAAACAATCCGTTTTGAAATGGAGGTCAGAGGGCAGGCAGGGAAGTGGTTAGACTCCTTCCCAAGTCGCCTGGTGTAAGACAGCAAGGCTGTCTGTGGGATGGATGTCACCGCCCTCCCCTTTGCCCCCGTGCTGCCGAGTATGGGGACTGGAGGGGCTATTGCGATCTCTGCAGAGTGTTCTGGGCGCCCTGGGCTGGGTCCTCCTTGGTTTCAGTTCTGCACAGATGAGGAGGACTCATGGGGGCTGAGGAGGACCCTCAGGGGCTGAGGCGGCCCTCGGGGATCGGGCCCTGCCTTCCCCGTGACAACTGAGCACTCTGTCCCCTGTCTCTCCAGCCTCACCGGAGGATGGTTCCCAACAGGCCGTACTCAGAGCCTTTGCATCTGCTGTTCCCTCTGCCTAGAATGCTTCTCCCGCTGCTCCTCACAGGTCTGACTCCTCGTCATCCAGGTTCCAGCTCAACTGAGACCCAAAAGCCCTCCCGGAATTCTCCACCCTCAACCCCCCAACCCTGAGTCACTTCCTACCCATGACTTGGTTTTATTTGTTTTCATAAATGCCTGACATTTCACATACGAAATTATGCACCTTGGTGTTTATTGTCCACTGTCCCATGCTACCTGAGGACAGGGACGTTGTCTCGTCACTGCTGACCTCCCAGTGCCCAAAATAATCCTGGCACATGGAAGGAGCCCAATATTTGTTGAGCTGCTTGCCTGATTGAATGAACTTACTCTCTAGTGCTAATATGACAGCCACCTGTGGCTAACTAAATCGAAATGAATTAAAGTAAAAGTCCTAGTCCTATTAACCACATTTCTAGTCCTCAGTGGCCGCATGTGACTAGCGGCCACCCTACCGGACGCTGCAGGTGCGGAGCATTTCCGTCCTGGCAGGAAGGTCTGTTGGCTGGTCCTGCCGCAGGCCGTGCACGTAGATTACACTTTCTTACCTTTACTCGTCATTTGCTCTGGGGGATGCTTCATCTGACCCTTAGAAAGCACTGCACGTGTAGTTTGGCAATATGTTAAAGTAAACCAAAGCATTAATATCATCGGTGCAACAATTACACTTCTCAGAATGTATCCTTAAGGAAATAATTGTTCAGATAGGCAAAGATTTAGCCGCAAGAGTTTTCAATGCAGCACTGCACATGACAGCAAAAATAAACAATAAAAAAACCAAAAAGGCTTGAGGGGCAGAGATTGGCTGCATTGCGGTGCAGCCACCAAAAACAGATGACTACGCAGTGACAGGGAAACATTTGCAAAATCTGATTGTGTCGTTAAATGAAACAGAGCCTTTACGACAGGTAAACAAGTCACAAAACACAAAAACTCTCTCTCTAGGGAGAGCCCAGCTGTAGCTGCATGTTATCTAACATTTGGAACTTTTCAAGAATGCAGTAAGTATGCAGTTATCAGTTACTGAGCATCAGTTACCGTATGATTTCACTTTGTTGAAATGAAGTCCCTTGGAGCCGTAAAGACCAGATCACATGTTCCAAATAAAAGTGGACCAACACCAGCCACCTCTACACTAGAAAACAGAGAGCTCTAGGCAGAAGAATTGAGGTGAATTTACTTTCTTCTCTTGGTTTATGATGCTTTTCTAAGTTTTCTCTAATGAACATGTATTTCTTCCATAATAGGGGTAGGGGACAATAAAATACATTATTAAACTTTCTTTAAGGCTCAGGTGACAGTTCAGTTCTCCATGAAGCCTTCCTTCCCGGATTCCTGGGTCAGGCACTACTAGCCCGCCACCCCCAGCCTTGTAGACACTGGCTTGTCTTGTTCGCTAGAATGCAAACCCCTCTGAGTCCCTCCTCCTGCAAGAAAAGGTTCCATGAAGGAAGTGATGGGGGGCGTCCCCTGTGTCCGCCGCCTTGGGGGAGCGTGCCTAAGACTTGTTACTGAGCGGCACCAGCCCTGGACAGAAACAAACCCCTGGATGGACCGACATTCAACATGATCACCTGTCCATCCAGTCTTATCCGGGAGCTGGTGAATGGGGACTGCGGGCGTGCAGTTTGGGGGTTCCCGTGTGTCTGTGAGAAGGGAAGCAGGTCTCGGGTGGTCGGGAGGCTTCGGAGATGAGCAAGGCCAGTGGTGGTCCAGATCCCTTCCCACCCCTCCGCCCACGGCCCACATCATCTGCTGTTTCCTCGGGCGGGGTCATTAGTGGGCAGTTAGCTAAGCAGTGTCCAGAATGACTCTGAGGGCCAAGAAGCCCCGCCCCTCCACGCCTGCTAAACTAATGAAGAGGAGCGTGGGTTTCGGAATTGAACCTCGGGGTCTGAATCCTGCTTCCCACGTGTTCACTCTAATAAGAGTTACTTAACTTCTCTGTGGCTCTAATCCCTTCTCTGTAAAGGGAGGATAATGATGAAAACAGCATTTAGGAAGAAAGGCTGAAATTCGCTCGATAAACGATGTGAATGGTTCCTATTCTTAGCCAAGACACAAGACCGGCCACGGAAGGTGCCGGGTCACACAGGCAGTAGGCCCCGTTCATTTCTGTCAAAGCCGCAGGCGGTAGAGCAGGTCTCCGGGGTGCGCACTGCCCACGCTGCGGCCAGGAGCCGGGGCTTCCAGTCCACCGGCCCCTGCGGGCCCCGGCCAGCCGCGCTGCGACCTAGTAGAGCCAGGGGTCCAGCGAGCGGAAGGGGCTGGGCCGGTTGGAGGAGCGCAAGGGGGAGGTGCGCGGGTAGCGCGCCGCGAAGGGGCCGAAGAACTCGGCAGCGAAGGTGACCACGTCGTCCGGCTGGCGCAGTAGCAGGAAGAGCAGGAAGTCGGAGACGAGCGCTTCGGCGTCCGGGTGCTGCTGCAGGTACCTGGTGTGGCCGAGCCGCAGCTGCTCCTGGTGGGGACCGAGCCTGAGCCGGACCCGGGCCCCGCGCTCCCTACTTTTCTCCCAGGAGGACTCGGGGACGCCGGGGACGCCCATCCCCCAGGGGTGTGCAAGGCAACCAGCCGCGAAGAGAGATCGGCAGTGCTGGAGTTTATTCGGGAAGGGACACCCCGCAGGGTGGGGGGAGGGACGTGGGGACCCCAGGCCCGCTGCAGCCTCGCCTCACCTTCCTTTCCAGGAACCTCGAGTAGAGCTCCAAGTCCTCCTCCCACGGCAGGGGCGTCTTCTCCAACACTGGGCGAGGCTCAATCTCATCTGGGTGCGGAGGGAAGAAGTCTGCTATCCCGACCCAGAACCCTCCTCGGATACACGGGGATGCCCGAGAACACCTGAGCTGCAGGCGCAGGTGAAACCCAGGGTTCTGCCCACTGGGCAGAGTTGCTGAAGTGGTTCCCTGCGAAATGATCCTCCCCTAATTGCCTTGGGGTCGAGGGCTGGAGGGCAAATATTCCCCATCTGATCTGGGCTCTGATCCCACCCACCGCACACCCAGTCCAGCCCCTGCACCAGGGAAGGCCCCAGGTTTTCCCACCTCCCCTTCACAGTCCCACCAGCTGGAAGCTTCACTCACCCTCCTCCCTCAAGATGGGCATCTTGGTGACCACACAGTAGCCGGAGGCGCCCACCTGGACTCTCTTGGCCAGGTGCCTGCAGTGCAACACGGGAGAAGGTGGGCATCTCCCAAGAGCAGCCCACTCCCTGCAGAGGCAGCAGTCCCTGGGGCTTCCCTTCACTGCTGCCCTCCCTCCCACTTGTCTTCCAGTTCCCAGGTCCAGTTCCATTGCTAATTCCCCAGATAATGGCCCCGGCTTTTCAAACTGGATACTGGTCCCCGGAGATGTGTGCTGGTGTGCCAGGGCTGGAGGCCTTGAGAGCGGTGAGCACTAAAAAAATGAGCCTCCTGGTGTGTGACGTGAAAACCAGAACAACACGCTAAGTTGTGAACCGAGGGAGGCCAAGGTGGTTCCGATTACTGTTTGTTTGTTGTAGTGTAGTGATTATGTCAATCAATAACTCTTTGTAAATTTCAAGAAACCAATTCTTCTCCCCCTCTCAGGCTTCCTCGTGGTCTGGGGCCTGTGCTTTGCTGATGGCAGCTTGGCAGTGTGCCAGAATGCTCCCCCCAGCACTTCATCCAGGGTCTTGTTGCTCAAACCTTGGTGATTTTTCAGTTTACCCCCAACACCTGTGTAACTAGGCCTTAGGCCCTGGGGAGTTGGTGTGAATGCCCCCAGCCACTTAGAGCCCTTCAGTGAGCTTTGGGCAGCACAGTGAGGATCAGGAGAATGAATGAATAAATACAGGAAGGAAGGGTGACCGATGTGGATAAGGAGGGACACTCCGATCTCAACTGCAGCCCTTCCTGTGGTGTGCCCAGACACACCAGTCTCCCTGCTCCCCCTCCCCCTCCCCAGAGGCCCAGCGCCCAGGCTGTGCTCAGCACTGCCCCTTGGCCCCGCCGCCGGCAGCTCACCCGTCGGACAGCATGTAGTACTGGCAGGACATGGGGATGCCCTCATCCGAATGCACAGCCTGCTCCACGATGAACACTTCCACCTGCTGACCCTCCACCTGGATGGTCTGGGAGCCCAGAGCTTCCTGGCAGCAGCCGAAATGAGGGAAGGAGGTGAAGTGGATGCCTGTCTGGGTCTCCCCCCAAATCTTTCCCTGGCCCTTTTCTCCATTGTACAACTTCACACTGTGTTCATCAGTGATAAGCAACTCTTGGCTGTCCAGACACTCAGGTGCCATGAGATTTGAGTTGTGTCCCCAGAGGTAAGTTGGGGGTCCCCTCATAGCCAGCTTCAGCCTGCTCCCGCCCCAACTACTCCTCACCCTCTCTGTGACCAAGTGCTTCTGGTTGGCAGATTCTGTTGCAGGGATGGAGGGCAACCAATCAGGTATGAGTGTGTGGGGGGCTGTTTGGGGGTTGGGGGGCAGCGAGGCTCTGGGGGTTCAAGTAGACTGACACCTGTGGCCCCCTCAGGCCCACGCTGCTGCGGGCAGGCTGCTCTGTCGCAACTCAAACTCAAACCCTGTGAATGCCTGCGGCCGTGGGGAGAAAAGTGCTGCCACGTGTTTCCCTGACAATGGAGCTGAATGACACGTGGCTGTTCCTGTCAAACACGCTGCTGTTTGTCCTGTGTGATAGAGAAGACTAGACTGTCCTTTACAAAGTTGGTCAAATCAGCCTCTAAAGTGTGTGCTCAGAGGCACAGCTTTAAAGATCACGTATTGCCATTAAGTATGAAGTATGTTGATTATGAAATTTTAGCCGAAACCAAAACAGAAAAGGAAGGCCTTCGGGGTTGAGACATAATGAAGAATATTGAGTGTCCTTGGAGACGGTGTATTTCCTGGTGGTAAAAAATATGTCTTTAAAAGCAGCCCCCCACTACGTTTATTTTTCCTGGACTGACTTCTGTACGAGAAAGTGTCCCTTCCCCCAGCTGCCCCCATGTGCACTCACAAATGCGGTCTTACTTTTTCCTGCCTTTGGAAATCCCAACCCCTTGTCCTGATTTTACCCCCACGCCACCCCCTCTTCTGCTCCACAGTTCTCTCTCCCCCTTGCGCATTCTCCCGCCCCTTCTAGTCTGCCCCGAGGCCAAGCTCCCCACCAGGGACAGCCCTCACGTAAGTGGAAGAGCAGAGTTTGCCCTCCGAGTCCAAGGCCAGGAAGCGGGCGTTGCTGGGCACCGTCCGCCTCCAGCCCATCACCCTCAGCAACAGCAGGTTGGCAGCCTCGGAAATGAAGCCCGCAGTTGAGTGCCAGGGGAAAAATGTCACTTCAGTCTTCATCTCCTGTTCAGGACAAATCTGGTTTAGGAATGTGGAGACAGAAGGGCACAGGGAGGGCGGACAAGCCTGGTGTTGGGCACACGGCCTTGCCCAGCCCCTCCTGCAGGCTTCCGGCCTGACACGGTCCGGCTTCTGTTTCCCAGAGGATGTGGGATATGGTGCCCATCCTCACCTCACCCTCCTTGACACTTCTGGTCATGGCCAGCTGGTCCTCCTGCTTCAGCAAACTCATCTTCCTTTCCATGGGGAGGACGTGGAACTACGGGCCAGAGCATGGAAGGGAGGACGGGCTCACCGGGTTGCCTACAAACGGGACCGCCCCCGCCCCTTCCAGCCGTCTTCTTGTCCGTTCTCCTTTAAAAACTAGAAAACCAAGGGGGAGATTTGGATAGAGAACCTTCCGTGTGTAGGAAATCTCAGGAAGAGAAGCCATACTCTGGTGCACTATGAAGTTCAAAAGCAAATCCCTTCAAATACAGGTTTTAAAAGATGGCGATGGTTTCTGAGGGAAGGCTCTTGGGCTGAAGTGCCTTCCAAGGTGGGAAGGGGTCACGTTCCAGAAGCTACGCATTTCAGAAGTTAACGAAGTGGTGAGGGCTGGTTGTGAGGGGCACAGAGCAGGAGCATTTGGAGGTGATGATGTGGTGACAGGCCCTTGGGAAAGGCCAGACTCTGGGAAGGGTCAGCCCACGTGGCCCCAGGAGATGCTGGGCTCTCAGGCCGGACGGGTCCAGGGTGGGCCGGAGCCTGCCTTTGTGCACTAGGATGTCACCAGGAGCTGACCCCAGTCCCCTGGGCGGCTTGTTTTTCATTTTTGTGGTGGGGATTGCAGGGGTAACTGTGGAGTTAGGCTGAGATTGTTTTTTGTTTTAAGATTTTATTTGTTTATTTTTAGAGGAGGGGAAGGGAGGGGGAGAAACGTGGATCGGTTGCCTCTCCCACACCCCCACCTGGGGTGCTGGTTCATCACCTGGGCATGAGCCCAGACTGGGAATCGAACCAGTGACCTTTTAGTTTACAGGCTGGCACTCAACCCACTGAGCCACACCAGCCTGGGCAAGCTAACATTCTGTTGAGCCCCCACTCCCTCCCTCCCTCCCTCTCTTTCAGGGTCTCTATTCTCTCACCCTGGATTAAGATCAAGGTTGGGGGCCCTGGGAGGTACCTTGATGAACTCCTGACTATGTTGTTCCAGGGTCTCCAAGTTCCACGAAAGATAGCCTGGGGTGGAGGGTGGGGAACAGTGCCATCGCAGGAGGGGAGGGTGGTGGCCCAGGCTGGAAGACTTAGGAAAAAGCTAGACCAAGCCACTGCTCTTGTTGTAAGTCCACGGCTGTGATTAACCTCCCTGACATTCCCACCTCCCACACGCCCACTGTGCCCCATTCTGGTACTGAGCTGCAGTCCAGGGGTTGGTCTGGGTAAGGCTCTGGGAACCGGGGAGGGCGGGCAGGGGAAGGATGGGGGCGAAGGGCACTAGGAAGCAGGGACTCTACCCAGGAGGGAGTTTCCGCAGAGCACTTTGTCGATGAAGCCGCGGCTCACGGCGTGCACGAGGGGGCAGTGAGACAGGGCGCTGAAGCTGCCTTCGTACTTCCCTCTCTTCACTTCAATGGTCAGCTCTCCCTGAGGCTCCCCCGTGTTCGAGACCATGGCCAGCGTCTCCGAGAAGAACAGCTTCTGCAGCTCCTCCTCCCCTGGGGACAGATGAAGCCCCAGCTCCTAGGCCTCAACTCTCCGACCCCCTGGCCACCAGTGTCCCACGCTGCCCACCCACGCCCTCCTCAGCCACGTCTCCCAGGCAGCCCCTGCCTCCCCTCCTCTGACCTCCACAGCAGCCAGCAGGGGACGTCACCCCAGCCACCCCCATGTCCTGAGGTCATTCTTTAAAAGATTTCAATATCAACCCTTTCAGAGTCTCAGGAGAATCAGTGCTGAGAGAGGCGGGGCCCGGGTCTGGGCGTCTCTCCTCCCTCCTCTCCACACTTGTGTCCCCCTCTCCTGACACCCACACCCACTGCCCGGGCTCACTGAGGGAGGCGAGGAAGTGAATGGCTTTCGCATTGGCCTTTGGGGGTGGCAGACTCTCCGGGGCTGAGGCTTGTTGCTGCTCCTTGGCTCTGGGGCCTATGGAGGGAAAAGAGGGGGAGATGGTAGACCCTGGGGAGAAGAACAGGGGTGGGCAGTTGTCCCAAGAGCAGAATCCTCCAAGGCTACCTCCGGGCAGATTGTGGGGGAGAAGATGGCCCTCCGCTCTCCAGCCCTAGCACCCCTCTTCCTACCTTTGGACTGAACTTTAGAGGACATGCCACCTGCTGCCTGCCGCCTGCTGCCTGCTGCTTGCCAACCAGTGTGTGTCCAGTTATCTCCATGGCAACTGGGAGCTAGCTACCACCTCTTAAAGGGCCATCAACCCACTTCACTAAACACCCAGACCCTAAAGGAAAAGGCAGGAACTGTGCACGGGTCTGGGACTTGGCCCAAGTCTGAGGTATTGTCCAGCAGAGGGAGCATGTGACATGCTTAAGAAGCTGAGGGATGACATGGGTCATCAGAATGAGTTTAGACTTGTGGCCCTGAGCCCAGGCCCAGAACAAGCACAGGACCCAGTTAGATACCATGGGAATAGCGCTACACTTTGTGGTCCTGACACATAACAGTGATGGTGCGTCAGTGACAGTCACAGCAAACTCATAAACGGAGCTAGCCCTGGGTCAGGCACTGACCCACAGGGCCTCACACACCTCAGCTAAACCTTCAGAGTAACCCTGTGAGCAGGTCCTTTTACCGCTCCATTTTATGGCTAAGAAAACCGAGGCACCATTGAGGTTCAGTGTCTCCCCAAGGCTACACAGCTAGTAATAGGCAGAGCAGGGACTCAACCCAAGGCAGTACGGCTGCAGAGTCAGAGCGAATTCAGAGAAAGGAAGCACCAAATAGATGACACACTGAAGCTACACAAGTGGGGCCTCACATGGTCAGTAACTAAAGATGCAGGCTGATCCCAGCCGTGTAGGTGCTGGAGCCTGTGTCTGTGGCTGTGAAAACGGGGCTCAGCCTGACAGGGCCCCACAAAAATCTCAGAGGGGGGGCGGGAATGGGTGAAAAAGGTGAGAGAAAGGATTAAGGAGTCCAAACTGCCAGTTATGAAATAAGCCACGGGGCGGTGATACAGGGAACAGAGTCAATAATACCGTACTAACTGGGTATAGCGGCAGACCTAGGTTGCTAGCCGTACAACAGCTACTAGGTTTACTGTGGTGATCACTCTGTCAGGTATATAGGCATCTAATCATTGTGTTGAATACCTGAAGCTAATGTTGTATGTCAACTATAATTTTAAAATAAATAAGCCCTGGCAGGTATGGCTCCACTAGATTAAATAAAATCTTTTTGAAAATTAAAAATAAATAAATAAATAAAAGGAAAATCTTGACATAAAACCTCGGTCACTTAAGAAGGGGCTCACTTCCTCACTACCCCACCCCACCCCCACCACCATGTCACGTGGGAAGGCACCCGATGTTGCCGTGTATAATGCGTACTTTTTGCCCAAATTTTTGAGGGAAAAATAAAGGTGCACATTATACATTGGTAGTACTAATTCCATATCTATATAAATATATTTTTTAAATATTTTATTTATTTATTTTTAGAGAGAGGGGAAGGGAAGGAGAAAGAGTGGGAGAGAAACATCAATGTGTGGTTGCCTCTCATGAGTCCCCTAATGGGAACCTGGCCTGCAACCCAGGCATGTGTTCTGACTGGGAATTGAACCAGCAACCTTTTGCTTCACAGGCCTGTACTCAATCAACTGAGCTACACCAGCCAGGGCTATATAAATATTTTTGATTCTTTTATTTATGCTGATGCATTAAAAGCAATGATGATATCTTTGAAATAACTCTAGAAAACAATGATGATATCTGTATGCAAAATAATACCCTGGAATATGATAATCAATTTTGTTTGTAAATATAAGTAAATAATTAGTTGAATTTAAAAATTAAAACAAAAGATTTTTTTTCCTGAAAGTTTGGTCCAAAGACATTAGTGTGCATTATACATGGCAAAATACAGTAATTTTCACCTAACTTTTTACTGGGTCTTTATCAACTTCAGGGAAATCTGAATTATGTGTGGAACTGCTTAAGAGAATTAAACTAATAGTGTTAATGTTTCTTTTGTTACATTGTGCATATTTTGTGTTTCGAGTACTTGAAAATGTTTAAAATAATTTGGCTTGGTGGGCTGCTTAAGAGATAAGCTTGGGAATTCTAATTTAAGTCAGGAAGTTGAATATAGACTGTGCTTTGAAGTTAAGTTCTTACTGGGATTGTAAAACCATTTTTTAGAAGATCTTGAAATTTGCTGTCTTTATATGTTTTATTATATTATAATAAAAGTACCCGGGAGGTTGGTTTGTCAGTCAATCGTTCTATTTTTAACAGATCTTTTAAGAAAACTGAGTTCTTTCTACTTCACTTTATTTTTTCCAGCTTTATTGTAATACATATAGCAATCTACTTATGTATAACATGAATAAGTACAATATAAGCTGCCTAAAGAGGTTTTAATTTTAAAAAGACAAATTAGTAATCAAAGTCTTAGAAGTTATTAATATTCACTAGATTTATGATTAGAATGATATGACTGGTTAGTTGAACTTAAACATTTTTTAAATGCTTGTTTTAAAATTTGGATTTTAAGCTGACTTCCAGCCAAGATGGAGGCATAGGTGGAAATACTGTACTTCCTCACGGAACCAAATTTAAGGACAGCAAAGTTTTAGAAACAAAAACACAACCAAAACAGACAGAAAATTGAACTGCACCGAAGTCCGACAACGCGAACCATTCATCCAGATGGGTAAGAGGGGCGGAGTCGGTGGCCGGCACAGACGGGTCCCTGCGGGAAGAGGTTGGTGGTTGGCAGACCCAGTGAGACCCGAAAGGCAGCTGGCTGACCGGGGACACACATTCGTGCTCAAATAAACCAGGCGAAAACGGGCAGTGAGACCATGCAACCCAGGGCCCCAGCGACGGGGAAATAAAGCCTAAAAGCACCGATTGGAAAAACTCGCAGGGGTTGAGGTGCCAGAGAGACTCCCGCCTCACAGGAGAGTTCATTGGAGACACCCACAGGGTCCTAGAACGTACACAAGCCCACCCACCTGGGAACCAGCACCAGAAAGGCCCAATTTGCTTGTGGGAAGAGGCAGAAGGGACTGAAATCTAAGAGAGAACAGAGCAAGCACCATTATTCCCTCTCTGACCCCAGCCCCACATACAGTGTCACAACCCAGCAACTGGGTTGACCCGCCTTGGTAAACATCTAAGGCTCCGTCCCTCATAGGTAACAGGCGCAAACAGACCAAAACTTTATGGCTCAAACAGAAGAACAAACCAAAGCCCCAGAGCCAAAACTTTTTTTAAGCAACTAAGAGATAGCCAACATATCAGATGCACAGTTCAAAACACTGGCGATCAGAGTGCTCACAGAACTGGTTGATTTTGGTCCCAAAATTAGATGGTCGCAAATTAGATGAAAAAATGAAGGCTACACCAAGTGAAATGAAGGAAAATGCACAGGAAACCAATAGTGACGGAAAGAAAGCTCGGACTCAAATCAATGGTGTAGACCAGAAGGAAGAAATAGCCAGACAGAAAAGAATGAAGAATCAAGAATTCAAAAAAATGAGGAGAGGCTTGGGAACCTCCAGGACATCTTTAAATGTTTCAACATCTGAATTATAGGGGTACCAGAAGGGGGAGAGGAACAGCCACCAGTGAAAAACTTATCTGAACAAATAATGAAGGAGAACTTTCCCAATCTGGCAAGGAAAATAGACTTCCAGGAAGTCCAGGAAACTCAGAGAGTCGCAAAGAAGGTGGACCCAAGGAGGAACACACCAAGGCACATCATAATTACATTAGCCAAGATTAAAATGAAGGAGAGAATCCCGGATGCAGCAAGAGATAAGGGGACAGTCACCTACAAAGGAGTTCCCATCAGACTGTCAGCTGATTTCTCAAAAGAGACTTTACAGGCAAGAAGGGGCTAGAAAGAAGTATTTCAAGTCATGAAAGGCAAGGACTACATCCAAGATTGCTCTATCCAGCAAAGCTCTCATTTAGAATGGAAGGGCAGATAGAGCGCTTCTCAGATAAGGTCAAGTTAAAGGAGTTCATCATCACCAAACCCTTATTATATGAAATGTTAAAGGAACTTATCTAAGAAAAAGAAGATAAAAAATATGAACAGTAAAAAGACAGTAAACCCACAGTTATTAACAACCACACCTAAAACGAAAACGAAAGCAAACTAAGAGGACAGCTAGATCAAGAGCAGAACCACAAAAATGGAGATCACATGGAGCGTCAGCAACAGGGGAGTGGGAGGAGGAGAGAGGGGGAAAAGGTACAGAGAATAAGTAGCACAGACAGTAGGGAGAAAATAGGGAGGACAAGAATAGTAGGGGAAATGTAGAAGCTAAAGAACTTATGACACATGGACATGAACTAAAGGGGAGAATATGGGGGGAGGGGTTGTGCAGGGGGAGGGGAATGAAGGGGGGAATGGGACAACTGTAATGGCATAATCAATAAAATATATTTAAAAATAAAACAAAATAAAATTTCAATTTTAATAAATTGAGTATTAGTTTAAAAAGCCAAAGTGAATTTATGAATAAGGCTTTCTCTGCACGTGAGCCACAGTAGCATTAAGAAAATTCATAATTGCTTTGGAAAGCAGCTTATTAGTTCCTCAAAAAGTTAAATGTGCAGTTACTGCATGACTTAGCAATTCCACTCCTAGGTACATGCTCGAGAATTGAAAACGTCTGTCTATGCAAAAATTGTACATAGATGTTTATAGCACCACTGTCAAAATGTGAAAACAACCCAGCTGTTGTCGGCTGATGAACGGACAGGAAAATGCAGCGCTGGAAACGCTGTGGAGTATGAGCTGCAGAAGGCACAAAGTACTGATGCATGCTATGACATGGATGACCCCTGAAAACATGTTGAGCAAAACAAAACAAGACCACATGTCACACAATTCTATTCATATAAGCAAATTCAGAATAGGCAAATCTGGAGACAGAAAATAGATCAGTGGTTGCCGGGGTAGGGGTGGGGCGGGGGCGTGGGGGCGCGGAGCCACATCAGATGGGCGCATCTGTCTGGGATGACGGCGGTGTTCTAAAATTAGAAGGCGGCGATGATCGGAAAACTGTGCTCACGCTAAAAACCACTGAATCGCACACTTTAAAAGGGTGAATTTTGTGTTATGTAAATTATATTTCAAAGTTCATTTAAAAAGTAGAGGATTTAGATAAAATGTAGAAAAATCAAACCCTATTGCTTTCATGTGTGAATTACATGAACTTTGACAAAATGCTTTTGATTACTAGGATGAAGTTTTAGACAACAAGAGCAGCCCTGGCTGGTGTGGCTGGGCAGAGTGAGCGCGGGCCTGCGAACCGAAAGGTCACTGGTTTGAATTCCACTCAGGGCACGTGCCTGGGTTGCGGGCCAGGTCTCCCTGCAAGAGGGAACCAACTATTTGACGTATCTCTCACACATCAATGTTCCTCTCCCTCTCTTCTCTCTCTCTTCCTGTCTCTCTAAAGGTGAGTAAAGAAAATGTTAAAACAATAGCAAATCGTGGTCTAGATGGTCTTTAAGGGGCCCATGCTGTTCCCCTCCCTGTGTCCTCTATCTCGCTTCACCGTCTCCCCTTAGACCTCTCCTGCACCCACTCACCTCTCCTAGGCTCCTCTAGCCACCTTCTGGGAGCCCACATTCTCAACTCTTACACCCCCCCCAGGCCCTTCCCCTGGTGCCGGCTATTTCCTGCCAGCTGCTGAGGGAGAAAGCAGTTTGGCAGTGACCCACAGAGGATCGGCATTTTGTCTACTGTTTGACCCTCCGGAAGATATCTATCAAGGACCATTGTTACTGTTCCCCCCTCTCCCCCACCAGAACCTGTGTAGCAGGTAGAAGGATGCTCTGAACCGCGTTGACATCCTAGCAGTGCGGCTGTGTTGGGCAGGTTGACCTCTCTGAGCCTGTGACATGGACAGCCTGTGCTCCCCCGACCTCGGGGTGGGCATCTCCTGAACAACACGACCAACATAGAGGGGCTCCTGGATGTGCCAAACTCTGTGGATATTAAATCCAGGCAGCCACTTCTAACGTGGGCAGCATCATCCCCTTTGGACACACGAGAAACGGGGTCACAGGAAGGTTAAGTGATTTGCCGATGGTCACCCAGTTAACAAATGGAAGGTGTGGACTCCAACCTTGCTGGGCCAGCTCCAGAGTCCAAGTTCTCGACCACTTCATTCTACGGTCCCCGATGGTCTAGCCCCGTGCTCAGTAACACCAGTAAGAGGAGAGAGAGGCTGCTGTTGACTGAACGTCCCTGGGCATCTCACTGGGCTCTCCCAGGCCCCGCACAAGGAGCGTGGGGACATGAACCACCTGCCTGGTGTTACCACAGCCAACCAGAGGCAGAGGCAGAGGCTGCATTAGTATCAGTACCAGTCCAACTCCAAATCCTTTTTCTTCTCTGTTCTTTTTAAAAAAGATTTTATTTATTTTTAGAGAGAAGCAAAGGAAGGGAGAAAGAGAGGGAGAGAAACATTGATTGGCTGCCTCTTGCATGCCCCCAACTGGGGACCTGGCCTGCACCCCAGGCCTGTGTCCTGACCAGGATTCAGACCAGCGACCTTTTGGTTTCCAGGAGACTTTTGGTTTCCACGAGAACGCCCAGCCCACTGAGCCACACCAGTCAGGGCCTAGTCCTTTTTCTTTCTACCACCTTGGCCAGGCTTTGCTGGAGCCAAGCGTTTACCAACCTTCAGGGTTAGGTTTCCACCTGCTTTCAAAGTCTCCATTTGTGGCCAAGGCCTTGGAGGGCTAAGACCAGCCCCCAACACGCACAGGCACACACAGGCCTCTTCATGTCTACACGTTCACGTCCGCAACTTCCCTGTTCTTTGTTCTGCCCTGGAACGCTTATGGCTCCCCACTTAGCCCCCCAGGCCCTTTCTCCTTTTGCACCCCAGAGAGATAGCCTGTGTCAGAAAAACCAAAGAAAAAAACAAACTGCTTGCTAGTGGGTTTTTTTGAGGTTGTGTTTTTTAATTTAATCTTCATTGTATTTTTCCCATTACCATTTAGTCCCCTTATACTCCCCTCCCCCCACAGTCACCACACTGTTGTCTGTGTCTGAGACCTTTTTCCTCCACCCCTCCACCCCTAAGTCCCCCTCCCCACCAGCTGTCATCCTGCTCTCTATAAGTCTGTCTCCATTTTCCTTGTTAGTTCAGTTTGTTAGTTATTTTTAAAACTATGTATTACTCAAACACCTTGAAGGCCGTATGTCTACCTCCATCTCTCTCCTATAATCAACTATTGCACCAGAAACCTGATGTAGTATTTCTCAAAGTGACTTCATGTGCCTTTTCTCCTCTGACTCTCCTAACAGTAGGTGGAACCGTTAGTGACGGATCATGACTTTGCTGTTTTGCATCCTTCCTGGTATCAGACCTCCTATATCTTTGGGGGATTTTTTTTTTCTCCATTCTCAGTGCACTGTTTCAGCTGGGTCTGACAATGCCCTTCCCCTTTTAGTCATGTGAGCTGATCCGACCAGTCAGAGAGGTCCAATACCTAACTCCTAGGATTGGTTCAGGGTTGGGCACATGACATAAGGTGGGCCAATGAAACTCAATCCCTAAGACTATGGGAGGTTCTGCTAGGTTTGATGAACTAGTAGCCTGGAACTTCTGGAGACAATTTTCCCACTTCGGGGAGAAAGCCTGACAGAGAACCAAACCAATACAGTAGAAAGCAGAGCTGAATGATGACGGTCCCGTTCATCTTCATGCCTGAACTCCCCGTGACATAGTCCCACATTCCTCAATTTCATGAGCTGATAAATTTCCTTTTTGGTTTAAGCTCCTTTCTGTTGACTATTTGTCATTTGCACCTGGAAGTGTTCTGACTTTATCTAGCTCATCATCTCCACTGGAAGTTGAAATTGAAGTCAGAGAAGTGACCCTTCCAAGGTCACTTGGATGTTGAGTGACAAAGCTGGGATTAGAACTAAGGTCTCTAAAGCCAGTGACACCTGCTGTCTTGCAAGCAAGGAGCAGGCTGCCTGGCAGCTGCTGGTTGTTCCAGCTCTGGGAGAAGCATGCACCGTCATTCCGGACAGATGCCGGGGTGGGAGGGTCCCCCAAGGCCCTGGGAAAATGTGTCACCAGCCTCAGAAAACCATTACCAAGTGCCCCTCGGCATATGCCGAGTGACCTGGCTCTGGGGCTTGCCCATTCAAGACAGCAGTGATGCAGAGACAATCCCTGAGCATGGTCAGCTGCCCTTCTTCAGGAAGGTGAGCCCCAGCTGGTGTGGCCCAGTGAATTGAGTGAGGGCTCTGAACCAAAGGGTCACCGGTTCGATTCCCAGTCAGGGCACATGCCCGGGTTGTGGGCTGGGTCCCCCACGGGGGTCATGTGAGAGTAAACCACACACTGATGTTTCTCTCCCTCTAAAAATAAATAAATAAAATCTTTAAAAAAAGAAAAAGGTGAGGACCTGGCCCCTTTTCCCATAGCTCCCCAAGGCATAGCCCTGATCCAGGACAGCCTGGGCCAGTGCCTAGTTCCCCAGGCAGGGCACGTGCCTAGGTTGCAATTTCGACCCCGAGTCCAGGTACATATGGGAGGCAACCAATCAATGCTTCCCTCTCGCACTGATGTTTCTCTCTCTCTAAAAGCAGTGAAAAAAAAAAATCCTCAGGTGAAGATAAAAAAATTAAACAAAACACGAGAATTCTGCCATAGCCAAATGTCGCCTTTGCTTCATGATTTCCTATTTCAAAATATATCTTTAATTATTGTCATGAATGGAAGAGTGGTGTCACCTGTCCAGAATATTGACCCCAAAGATCAACACAATGAACACAAGACAATGTTGTTAAAATCTATCTCCATGTACCGGTGTCTGGCTCCTGGTTAGAGACATCACAGAGAGGCCAGGGCCTTATGCTTGGGGTGCTTTTCACTGCTGGGCTGTGACTACGTAGAACCACCTCGAACCATCTCCTTTGTGTCCAGGGTACACCTGCGCCTCTCAAGCTCTGGGAAACACCGAGGTAAGTGAATCGTAAGCCCTGAGCTAAGGCAAAGAGCTCAGGAGGATGTATTCATAGCACTGTTTCTGGCCAAAGCTCTTGAAGTACAGTAACTCCAAGCTGGTGGACCTATAACCCAGACGGAAAAACGGAACCAGCAATAAAGACAAGCTCAGTGACCAAGCCTGTGTTAAATCATTCATTCATTTAACATTTATTGAGCGCCCTCTGTGTGCCAGGCACCGTGCTAGGCGCAGAAATCGAGATGCATAAGATACAGTCCATGCCCTGAAGGGTTCACAGTCTGGAGGGGAGACACACATGTAAACAAGTGAAATACAGTGGTAAGTGCCAGGGGAGAAGCATTTACAAAGAGCAGAGGTAGCCTGGAGGGGGAGAGGCATGGGGGTTGTCTTCGTGGAGGAGGGGCCTCTGAGGGGGATTGAAATGATGAACAGGCGTTTGCCAGGCAGACAAGGCAGGAGGAGCAGGGAAAGGCATTCCAGTCTGAAGGAACAGCATGAGCGAAGGCACAGAGGCAGGAAACTGCGTGTCTTTGGGTGCAGGGTGCTCTACCTATTCTGGAAGTATTGCTAGAGTCGGTATCAAAGGCTGTGGCTGCAGAAGGGGCAGAGGCCAGATGATGATGAGAAACCAAGGGCAGGGGGCATCTTGGAGGCTCGCCAGAGGGGCGCGGAGCCTGAGGAAAGGCTTCTCTTTGAAGGAAGAGAGGTCCCTGGCTGACCCAAGGTACGCCTGCTTGAGGACCCTACGGTTCCTCGCTGTGGTCCCAAAGGGCCCTGGACCCATGACCAGAGAAGCTGAGCTGAGGGACGGCCCAGCCCTGGGGTCCTGGAAGCTGCCACTTACTCCCGACTCCTGATTTCTGGCTCTGCTGCAGGGACGCACCCCCGGCCAGGATGGGGCCTAGGGTCAAGTGAGAAGTGACACAGAGTGTTCTCGGCAGACTGCAAGGGGCCAGATGACTGTGTTAATAGCTAAGAGCGGAAAGGGGCTGAGGGTAAAGCAGAAGTTAGAGGAAGGCAGAAGTTCTAAGAATAAGGGCCGTAATGAAAAAACAGCAGTGGCCGTGGTGGACGATGGCTCTCTCTCCCCTGTTGGCCCAGGGCAGGGGCAGAGGCCAACAGGAAGGACCAGGCGAGCTGTGCAGGGAGCCAGTGCGACCCTCAGGACTGTTGGGCTGCAACCCCAGCAGCCTCTGGTGCCTCCTCAGCCTGAGGTCAAGAACCAGGGCCCTCCCTCTTCCAGGCTGTAGGGAAGTCGCTGAGGCAGACATAGGCCAGGAAGCAAGACTTCCAGACCTTCCATCTTTCTCAGAAATGGCTTCATTGGAAAAATGCCTTCGAGGGAGGCAGGGCAGGGAGGCTGGGGGATGAGGGGCAGTGTCTCAGTAACCAGAGCCCAGGCGCCCCTCTGAGTGACCACTTTTCCAAGGCATCTCACATCAGGCCACTTTGGGGGACTGTTTCTTTCCCACCCTGAATGGGAGACAGGGGAAGGTGGACTCAGCCTGTGGTGGCTCCGTGTCCTGGGTTAAGTGGCTCCAGTGAGAGTGAGGCCCTCTGAGGGAGGGGCTAAGAGCACTCACTACCACGTCAGGAACAGGGGGAGGGAGGAGGGGACCCTCCCAGCTAGGTCTGGAGATGTCCCAGGGCCCCTCATTTCCTGTTACCCTTGATAGCTCAGCTGCACCCTATGGAGCCTCTCAGCCTGTGAGCAGTCCCCCGTCCCCTTTCTCTAGCCTCAAAGTCCCCCACCTTGACCCTCTCCCTGACCAGTATTGGAGAATGACACCCACCCTGGGCTCTGATGGAGGCGGTGATGGAGCAATGAGGGGGATGGGCGTGCAGGCCATGGCCGGCCTCCCCACCGCGAGGTGAGCTGCGGGCATCACTTGCTCTTGTGCAGGTCCTTCAGCCGGCGGAGCTTCTCCAGGAGCTGGGCCCGGGAGTAGCCATCGTCCTCACTGGGGCCCGGGCCTGGGACCAGAGTCTCCTGCAGCACCAGGCAGTGGGTCCTCAGGAAAGGGTTGTAGGAGCGCTCCTCTCCCAGGGTGGACGGGCACTGTGGGACCACAGGCACCTGGCTTTGGTGGGGAGAATCTGGCAAATGAACCCAACAAGAAAAGTGCCCCCGCCCCTGCCCGGTCCTGGGGTCCAGAAGTTCTCACTCAAAGACCCATGAGGCAAAACGTGTCAGAGCTCTGGGAGGGGCACAAGGCAGGGGTTCCCTCTGGGGAGTGCCCTGGGGGCCCCTCCCGGACCCCCAGCCCCGCACCGTGCTCTTGCGCTCCATCCGCTGCCTCTGCACCCACTGCATCTTCCTCTCCCGGGCCAGGTTCTCGGGCTCCACCACACCTGCAAAGCCCAGGTTCTCCTCCGCGTACTCATGACCTAGGGACGCCCATGGGGCCGGAGAGGCAGGGCGGAGAGAGATCGGTGTGTGAGCAGAGAAGGTCTTCCCCGAGGGGCAGCGCCTTCCAGGAAGGGTGAGCACAGGTCCGCCGCGCGGGAAGAGGCAGAAGCAATTCAGGGAAACCACCAGGCCTGCAGCCAGGAGACGGTGTTCTAGCCCGGCTTTGCCTCTTCCCATCTCCATGACCTCAGTCACCTCTCGGGGCCACAGTTTTCTTTGGCAAGTGGAGAAAATAATGCCACGAGGGCAAGGGTGTGTCTCTGGTGCCTGGAACAGAGGCTGGGACATGTTAGGTGCTCAGGAAAGTATGAATGAATGGATGAGCTGAATTTTCTGAGGATTAACTAAGATATCAGTGAGTGTTTTAGAAACTGGACATGTAATGTCTGTAGGGACACGCGGTGTATGGTCATGTATGGATGGCGGGACATACAACATGTGGATATAGGTGTGTACAATGGACACACGCAGACTGGATTCTCCCCGACAAGGCAGGCTATTTTCTGTCCTAGGCTCTGGCTCAGCAGGGGCGTCATTGAGCCAGTACTCCAAAAAGAAGGGGGCTCTGCACCCCCCTACAGTGGCTCCTGGGAACCGCCAGAGGAGGAGCTGTGTCGCCTCTGGGACAGGAACTGGGTCCAGGGGCACACTCCAGGAGGGTGAAGGGCAGGGAGGAGTGGGGCGCCTCACCGGGCCACAGCAGAGTGTCATCTCCCAGCCCCAGCACAGTGTCCAGCGAGCTCAGCATGGTCTCTGCAGTGCCCTCGAAGGTCCGTCCTGGTGGGGTGAGGGGCGCGTTATAAAATACAAGGACAACACAGCATGCTGTACGGCATGTGAAGGGGTTGGGGACCAGCGTGCACACCTCGGGCCACCAACCCTCAACGGTGGCCCAGGGAGCTGGGCCCAAATGTTCGCCCCCAACCACACCCTTCTGAAGGTCTCTACCGCACATGCTGGCATGTGGGTGAGAGGGGGCTGCGCCTTCAGGCCGGGCTCTAACAGCCCCAAGCATGGCCGTGCTGGGTGCTCCTTTCCACGGGGCACCTCCATTTTTGCGTTTGCTGCCCTGGGGGGCCCCATACAGCCTGGGACTTGTGGTCCCTGAGCCACAGCATCGTACTCTCGCTCAGGGCTTCTCAAGTTTTGTAACCTGGCCCCCTGGTCCCTGTATCGGAGAACCAGGCTCCACCCAGTGGAAACAAAAGCCCCGCCAGCCCTGTGCTCGGTTACAGGTCCTGTCGTATTCTGTCCAGCCCCTACGGGAAGTCATGAGGGTAGTAAAGAAAAATTGAGGCAACGTCGGTAACGGTTACCCCAAATCAGAGACACATCTGCACTGAAACCAGTGCTTTAATGCCTCTCAGCACTGTGGCCGCCCCCCTCCCCACCCCTCATGCCCCCTCCTCCCTTTGGGGGAACTCACCACAACCAGAGAGGAAGAGCAGGTCTCCTGAGAAGAGGCAGGAAGGACCCTCGTAGGGCTCCCCATCCAGCAGGTAGACCAGATGACCTTGTGTGTGGCCAGGGGTGGCTAGAGCCCGGATCTGAAGTCGCCCCACACTAACCACGTCTTGATGACAAAGGGGACTGCGGAGCAAGGCAACAGGGGAGAGAAGGTACTAGAGCTCATGCTATGCTGGCCCTGCCCTGCCCTAGGAGATTTGCAGGAGTCGAGGCTTCCACGCCAGAGAGAAAGTGGCCCCCACTGCCGGGACCTCAGACCCAAACCCTCCCCTCTTCCTGTTTCAGTGACCAAGGCTGGATCAGATGGGCTCTGATCTGCTCTCTGAGGGCCGGGAGGGGCATCAGTGAAGATCCAGCTGCTGGTAACACCTGAACTTCTCCACTGAAGGTTAGGGGCTGAGCCCATGAGAGTGCCGCCCCAGCCCTGGGGTCAGGGACTCACTGGGTGAGGGAGGGGATGCCGTCCTGAGGGCTCCCGTACACCCTGCAGTCGTGGTGCCGGCGGCTGAGGTCGCGGTTCCCCCCGCTGTGGTCCCTGCAGGACAGCAGAGGCAGAGACAGGCTTTGAGAGGCCATGGCACTGGGCCTGCCCACCTCCCACTTCCCCCCGGCATCTCCAGGCCTAGGAGCCCTGCATGCCCCTGGCTTCTGGACTGAGCTGAGCTGTCCCCACCACTGAGCCTTTGTCCGGGCTGTTTCCCTGCCCAGAACGCCATGCTCCCAACGTGCCGGCCCCCCTTCACCTGGCCAATGCCAACTGATCTTTGTGAACTTGCTCAGCTCCAGGGTCATCAGCCTCGAATTCTTCCAAGTGGATCTGATTCTGCCCCACCTGGTTGCCTACCACCCCCTGTGCCCTGAGCCACAGTTGGCATCATTTGTCACTGTTGTCCATTTTCATGCAGGGCTCTCTCCCCTACTGGACTATAATATTCCTGAGAGAAAAGATCACAGGTTTGCCCATGTCCAGGGCACAGAAGCCATCTAACAAATGCCCATGGGACACGAGCCAGATGCTTGCCCTGCCCCCGTCTGGGCTTCAGAAGTCTAGTAAGTAGAGCAGTGGGAGACTCACCCCTTTCCCTCCCTCTCTGATAGTGCCCCAGTACTTCATGAGGAAGGTGGACAGCCCCCACCCTGACTTTCTGACCCCCAGCCCAGCCTGACCTTATGGGGCTCAGACCTGGCAAGCTCAGCTGGGGCAAGAGTCAGCCAGGGGCGATCATCTGCACCCAGACGCCCCACGCGGCCCCTTACCAGTGCTTGTGAGTGCAGAGAATGGCGACCAAGGTAACGCCCTCCTTTTCAATGGAAGCCTGGAGGAGAGAAGAGTTACTGAGACTGAGGAACAGGACGCAGAGGGAGATGAGGCAGAGAGAGATGGGAGAGTGAGTGCCGGGAGCAGGGGAGGGAGGGCTGCGGGGGAGGGAGGGGGCGGAGCCAGAGAATGAGAAGGGGTAGGAGGGCAGGGTTGGGGAAGGGGCGGTAGCTGAGACTCCGCACGGCAGGTGGGAGGGGGCGGGGAGGCCGGGGGAGGGGAAGGGAGTGAGATCCTGGAGTGCCAGGCACACACGTATGCGCACCCAGGAACGAGAAGTGGGAGGGAAAGGTGGAGAGTCCTAGACACTGACAGAGGTGAGGAGAGAAGAAAGAGGCCAGAAAGGGGCCGCAGAGAGTGGGAGGCAGAAGAAACCCACCAGACCCACCGTCTCGGGTGGGCACCGCGCTCTCTGGTTCCCTCACGCTGCCCTCCACCACTCCACCGGCCACTCTGCACACCGACCCTGCCCCAGGCTGTGGTCCTGAGGGTCTCTGTATGTGAGTGCATACGGAGGGGCACCTCCCACTGGCAGGGGGACCAGCATCAGCTCCTCCCTAGTGAGCGGAAGCTGCCAGACCCTGAGGGTCCCCCAGGTCCCCTGCCCTCACCTGCACGGCCTGAGGGTCTGAAGGGTCCACAGCCACAGCCAGGCGGGCCTGGGTGTCGATGATGAGGTAGCTGTAGTTGTCAGAGAGGACGGGGATGGGAAGCACCTTCACTCCTGGGGGGAGAGAGAAGGACTGTGGGCGGGGTGAGGGCGGGGAGTAGTCGGGAGTATGCGGCAGGGTGTAGTCAGGGAGGGCGGGTGGGCACAGCTGGGGGCGATGCTGGCCCAGGGCAGCCCAGACTCACCGTTGAAGAGGCGGGGCTGGGTTCTGGAGTGGCCTTTGGGGTAGCGATTCCGAGCCCTGCGCAGCTGCTGTCGGTAGAAGAGGTACCCAAGCCAGGTGCGGGTGTACAGGCTGTACCTGTGGGTGGGAGGTCTGGGCTCAGCCCCCGCGTCCCCGAGCCCCCGTGTCGCCCAAGCACCGCGCCTCCACTCTCCCAGCTGCCCCGAGTCAATGCGACTCCCTGTCACCTATTGTGGGCCCACTGTTTGCCCTGCTCAGTACTCGGGGCAAGACGGAAATGAGACAGACACACCCTCAGTGTGCAGCCTGTCAGGGAGAAGTGAAGAATTCAGAAAGACTCCTGGAGTATGAGGGGTTGCTTCAGGGAAAGGGGTAGAGGAGTTAGGAAGCTGAAACAGCTGAGAAATACATTTCAGCGGGAGTGGTGCTGCATCTGGACAATGCCAGGGCCTGAGGCTCCGATTCCCAGCCCCACCTGAGAAAGCAGGTCTGGGGGGGAGCCCGGAATTGGCATCTTTCTAGCAGCTCCAGGAGAGGCGATGCTGCTGGCCCAGGGACCACAACTTCAAGAACCACTGGGGTAGAGGAAACTAGAATAGCAGACAGCAGGCTTATTTGGGGAAACTAGAAAGTTCCCTTTGGCTGTTTGGTGGAGGAAGCAGGGAGAGGTGCGGTAGGATGGGCTGACCACACTTTCTCCCTCCTCTGGCCGCCACTCCAGGCCATTCGGGCTACACGGCGAAAAGGCTGCAAAAAGAACGTGGGGACTTGTGAGTGACGCAGTCCTCCCAGTCCAGAATGCACCATGCAGGGCCAGCTTCACTGACTGGCGTGTGACCCCTGCTTGGCTTAATGCTCTCTGCTGCTGTCACCTGGAAACCCTTCACGATTTTACCTTGGACCTTGTGTGAAGTCTGGTGGGACAACGGGACCACACGCGAGCAGAGGTGGTGATACATGTAACATGTGCGTGTCCTGTCTCCTGGAGCCCTGTACAAACACCATGTTGGCAATGCCCCAAGCACAGAATTCTGACGGACCTACTGAGTGTGGGAATCCAACGAGACTCAAAGTGAACCAAGGTGGGTGTACATGTACAGCTGGGGGAGGGAGGCACTCGCTGGCCCGAGGGGCCACGCTTTCAGCTCACACCAGAATTTGCTTCAAAGGGGTAAGGAGAGAGCGGTGGTGTTCTGAGAGACAGAAGTGACCAAGGAGACCTGGCGCATCTTCCTCACTCCTGTCACGGCCCCATGTGATTCAACCGCTTCGCTGCGCACGAAGCTTCAGATGGAAAGGGGAAGAGGATAAGCAGTCTTCCCCCCAGCAGGCCTTCCTCGCTCTCAGGGAGCTGATGGCGGAGCTGGAGGCGGAGCGTGAGGGTGGCAAGAAGCGAAGTGAAAACAGCTGAGTTAGTCTGGCGCTGCCTCCCGGCCAGAACAAAGCGCATACCCCGCACAAGCTAGAAAAGGTGAATTGTGTCGTCTCAGTGATTCCACGCGTCAGTTAAATGTCCTCCTCCCGTTTGCTTTTAAAACTGGTCCTGTACGATGCAAAAATAAATGAAAAAACTCAGGCTGATAATTCAGATGATTGGTTTTTCTTTACTTAGAATAACACTAAATAGCAACTTAAAAACACCGTGGCAAGTCAAAAGTGAGATGGTGGGAGAAAGGAAAAGCGTTGTGTCTTAGTTCCTCACGCGGCACTCTTTTCCTGCTTTTTGAACAGGAGGCTCACAATCTCCTTTTACATGGAGCGGACAAAGCAATGCAGGAGGCCCTGCTGGCAGGAAAAGGAGCTGTCTCAGGCCCAGGCCTCTCAGAGGGGAAACTGAGGCTGCGCTGGGGGCGGGGCAGTCAATGCTGAGGGTTATGCAGCAAGTCAGTAAGAAAGCCGGGAGGGATTGTGGCGGATTCAACCGGACACAGACAACTCGGGGTGGAGGGCAGATGACGGGCTGCCGATATCTACAGGGCTTTACAGTGCCTGCCTCACTGCAGGGGAGGGGTCCAGGGGAGGAGGTGTGTGTGGTGCAGAGGGGACTGCTCCTCAGGCCCTTCCTGAAGACAGGGCTGATTTCGATGCAAACCAGGTTGGTCTCCCTGACAGCCTAGGAGAAATGACGTACTAAAGCCGAGTCACCGCAGCCCCTGGTCTGTGTGCCTGTGCACCGGTATTGATGGGGTTCTGACGCACTGTGGGGTGTCGTCACCCTTTTTGTCTTTTTTAAATAAAGGTGTTATTTATTTATTTCTAGAGAGAGGGGAAGGGAGGGAGAAAGAGAGGAAGAGAAACATCAATGTGTGGTTGCCTCTGGCACGATCCCTCCTGGGAAACTGGCCCACAACCCAGCCATATGCCCTGACTGGGAATCGAACCAGTGATCCTTTGGTTTGCAGGCTGGCGCTCAATCCACTGAGCCACACCAGCCATGGACATGGACTCTGTGTCTTTCTGTCCATGTTTCATAGGCCCTCTTTCTCTTCTATTTTTAATAATTTTTCAATTACAGTTTACACTCAATATTACTTTGTATTAGTTTGAGGTGGGCAGTATAATGATTAGACATTTATGTAACCTACAAAGTACTTCCCCCAATATTTCCAGAACTCACCTGGCACTATACATAGTTACTAGAATATTATTGGCTACATTTCCTATGCTGTACTTCATACCGTACCCCTGCGGCTATTTTGTAACTACCCCCGTCTGTTCTGTGTTAAAATCAGTCTCAGCCTCTTTGTGTTCTCATTCACTCAGCAGTGTCTGCTGAGGCCTTGCTATCCGCCTGCTCTGGGCACACTGTGGGCAGGCACAGCCAGCACCTCCTGCAGCTTACGTTCTCGTGGGACAGGCAGGGCAATAAACACGCTGTCAAGTGAAGATGGCAAAACAAAATGGGGCGAAAGGGCAGAGGATGAGGACAGGAGCTGCTATTTTAGGGCCGAAGTCAAGGAAGGCCTCTCTGCAGGCGACTTTCTAAGAAGTAAGGGAGCAGGTGGTGTGAGAATCTCGGGAAAGCTCACAAAGAACTGGACGGGAGAGTGCAGACGCCCCAAGGGAGGGAGGGGACAGGCCGGGGGGACCCGTTGATTCTTGTGGGTGTGTCAGTGATGACAAAGAGTTGGCCAGAGAGAGATGCCCCACCTGCGGGCATTGGTTGGAACAGGCCAACTGTCCTGGACTGGATTCTGGACCAGAAAAAGAACATTAGCGGGACCACTGGTGAAATTTGAGTAAGGTCTGGAGAGTACTGAATAATCTGTATTGATGCTAATTCTTTAGTTTTGAATACGGTGCCATGGGTGTGAAAGAAGTCAAGTTCAGGGGAGTTGGGGGAGGGGCATACAGGAATTCTGTGTGATAGTTTTGCAAGTCTGAAATTGTTTCAAAATACAAAGTTAAAAAAGAGTAAATAAATAAGTTCTTAAAATCACCCCAGCACCACCTCACAGCCATGCCTGCAGTCCCGCTCCTGGCTTCACTTCTTCCTGCTTAGTCAGGCTTCTGGAAGGTCCAGGGCCCCTGGTAACGGGGAGATCTGGGCTTTAGGCCTGGCTCTCCTGCCCCACCCCCAGCCCCGAGAGCCCGGGTGAGTCTTCGGTCTCACAGGTGCGGCTCCTCGTCCTAAAAACGGTGCTAGCAGGACTTACCCTGCCAGACTGTGTGAAGGTTCAGTGACATAAAACAAGGTAACAAATGGTAGCACTTAGGGCCTGGCCGTGGAAAGTGTTGAGCAACTGTTACTTCCTTCCCCCATTCAGCCAGGCGCCCCTCACAGCTGCTGGTGCTGGCTGCCCACATCTAGGGGGCGTCGCTGCCGACTGCTCCCTGTCTTCCATTTTCGGATGCTTGTTATAGTTGCTTTGTTCCCCGACAAAGGTCAAGGTCCACGAGGGGAGGGCCTGTGCATTAAGAAGCTGAGGTCAACAAGGCCCCTCTCTTTCATTTGCTTTATTCAGCAAATATTTACTGCGCATGCTGGGCTGGATACAAACAGCAGGGAACTAGGCAGCTGGGTGAGTGGAGGGGCCCACAGACCAAACCGGAAAACCAATCAACAAAGAAGCGGTTAAGCACAGCTGGCGATGGAGGGGAGGAGAGGAGAGGGAAGGGAGAGGTCTCGCTGTGGATGGGGCGGTCAGGGAAGGCCTCTTCTCCGAGGGCGACCTTTGAGCTGGGAACGGAGAGATAACAGGGAGCCCGCCATATGCACAGCCTGGGTGGTGCAGCAGCAAGGTCTGGGGCAGGCAGGAACGGGGCGAGCTCTGGGAGTTGCCAGGAGGCCCAGGCAGGGCTGGAGGGGCAGAGGGCACCAGAGCAGAGGTCGGCGAGGTGAGCAGGGGCCTGGTGACGGAGAAGGGGTGGAAAGTTCCTGGTGGCTTTTAAACTAGGGAAGCACGCGCTCTGACTTCCCTTTTTAAGAGCTCCCTGGGCTGCCCTGTGAAGAGGACGCAGGGAAAGGGAGAAAAGTGGAGGGTGGCAGGGGAAACTGAGTCACTACGCGGGAGAGAAGGCGAGGGTCCAGACTAGAGGGGGTGCTGGAGGTGCACAAAGGCAGAGATGGATGCCAGGCCTGAGGTCTGTGCCCCACTGGCTGCGGCGGGAGGGACAGGTTGCCCTTGTAGGCCTGAAGTCTGGGTCGCGGTGCAGAGCAGGGGAGAGAGGGGAGGAGGGACCCCGGGACCGAGGGCCCGAAGCCCCGGGCCTAGAGCCTCCCTGAGAACGACTTCCCCGAGCCTCCAGCGCCTCCTTCCTCTGCCTACACACTGGCCATGTCGCAATCGCCAGGGTCTAAAACCATGCTTGTCAGCTCTTCCTCCTGCTGCCTGTCTTTCTGGGAAAGGCCCCGTCACCGACCCAGTTACACAGCTTCAGCCCCGATTTAACCCTCTCTCTGGCACATGCAACCAAGACAGTTTCTCTCAAGCTCACCTTCTACCCCGCAGCCCATGGGCTCACCCAGGAACAGCCCCTAGAAGCTCTTAACTCGCTTGACCCTTATAAAAGCGTTGTTTACACAGCTCTCTGCCTGCAATCCAAACTGCAAGGCACTGGCAGAAAAAGAAGGAAAAAAAAAAAAGCACTGTCATTGACTGAGTCTCGCTCCTGCT